TTAGTCAGAATAAATATAAATCCCTACAGTTGTTCTGAGCCTCTTTCTCTCTCTCTCTTTATCTTTCACACAGAAATATTCTTGCAATCTCTATATCCAAACTGGGAAAGTTTGGATATAGAAAATGTTGAGTTTTCTATATCTAATATATCCACTATCTATATCCAGTATCTATATTCAGTATCTATATCTATATCCAATATATCTATATCCAAACTTTTCCAGTTTGGATATATAAACTTGATTATGTTCTGAGAAACGATAAATGGAGTTCCTAACTTTTGCTACTTCGTCAAAGATTGGGAACTACAAGTGTCCTTATTACAATAAAGCTGGTTTTTCAAAATTTTAAAATGTTAAATTAGTTTGTTACGTTTTAACACTAGATTGCCTAAGGAAGTCATTTTGACTGCTTTTAAGTTTCAATTAGAAAAACAATTATGTATACAATGACACAGCTACTTATAATTTTGTGACTTTTTGTACAATATATAAACACGTAATTTTTTTTTTATTGTTAATACTTACTAATAAGTAAAGAATATAAAAAATATTAAAAATTAATTTTAAGCAAATTTCTTTACACATTATTCTTTCACAATGCAGTCATTTTGACTGCTTTGGGTATATACTAAGTTTCTAGTGTTAAAAGTAGTTACTTAATTGTTAAACTGTTTTGTTTCAAATATATCTTTTTAGTATATTGAAATACAATAATCACACGCACACACAGAGACATACTTCCAAAAAAGTGCTAATTTTGTGCGAAAGGAAAACTTATTTCCAGTACAAATTTTCCTTTCCTAACTGCGCAGGTGTCGAAAATTAATGAATGAAACTTACGCGAGAAACAAAACAAAGAAGTAGCGGAAGAGGGAAAATAAGAAATATTTCAACAATGCTTTTTCGCCAGAGGGCTTTACCCTGCCCTCATCAATTAGCGAGTCTGCTATTGATAAATTTACTTAAGTCATTTACTTCTTCTCTGTCTTCAGATGCAAACAATAGGTGCTGCTAAGATGTTTGCCTGGTCAATGAGTTCGTTCTTCAAAGTCAATGCCCTAGAACTTGGTGAAAGGAAATTCCAGTCTTAGGACAGCTCTTTCAAAGCATGCACTGTTCAAGGTGGTACTGTTATGCTTCATTTTCTTGATAAATCATATTATGGCGCGAGATTTTATATTAAAGTGACAATTATTTTTAGTGAAAAATAAACCTGAAGTAAAAAATCTGATGTGTACACCACACGAATTCCTTGTACTGAATATTAAATTATACGCGTTATCCCCTGCGTTTCATTTAAACTTTTTTCCTGGAATTTCATTAGAGATATATTTCGCCTTCAATTAATTCAGTTCTCACTTCGCGCAAGGCAAAAATACACAAAAATTCAGAATATCTTCATTAAAATTTGAAACATAACTCCATACGCAGTTAAAACAATTAAAAGTACAATTTTTACAATTAAAATTAGAATTTCCACGGAAAAGCAAACAATTCCGCCAGCAGGCAAAAAGGCAGGTTTTTTGGGTGCACAAAACTAAGTTTCCTTTTGGTCCTACTCGGCAAAAAGACACTGAAGGTGCAGAAAGGCTTAATTATTCTGCTAAATTCTGCTAATTCTGATAATTCTGCTGCACTATTCTGCTAAATTTCAAATGTAAACAAATATGGCTGCTATGACAAGAAAAATTAGGCTTAGCTGCACTTAAACAACTTTCAAATTGTTGATAATTCTGCAACTAATGTATGAAAATTAACTAAAGGCATAAAAACCTTAACTGAAAGATAGGAACAACATAATTTAATCATTTTTAAAGCCAAAAATGCACAATTTACCAACATATAAGAATAAAAAAAATGAGTTCACGGAGCCGAGTGACAGAGTGGGTATATGTATATATGTTACGGTGAAACACCGAAATCTGGAGAATGTCGACTTTCACCGGTGAATGTCAGCATTCACATAGTCTCTTGGTGTATGTCCGAAATATTTTCCAATACTCTTATTTCTGACTTACACCGGTCAGTGTCGACATTCACCATGTACTAATGGTGAATGTTGAACATATGACAATATTATATTTTCTTCTCCGTAATTCAGTCGCGAATAAACGCACTTGAGACTTGGAATAAGAACTTAAGAACATGAGAACCTAAAACACACAATACATTCAAAATGAGAAAGGGAAATAATAGAAGTTAAAAACTTACTTAATTATACACAGTACTTTCTAAATGAGAAAATAAAATAACAGTCATAAAAAACTTACTAAATTATGTGATTCAAATCTTATTTATTACAACAACTTAAACTATTATGGCACTTTATGACCTTTCTTTTCGACTTTCACCAGAGCATATCTGTGATTGTCGACATACACCGGTGAGGGTCCGAATATACAAGAATGTAGTACAATATTCGATCTTTCACCGACGTATTTGGTGAATGTTGATATTCTCCGGTGAAAGTCGACATTCTCCAATTTCGGTCTTTCACGATAACATATATACTTAATTACTTTTGGTCCGGCCGATTGTCACGAAAAAGGGAGTTGTAGAACTACATCCTATAGGTGTCCTATATACAAAATTTCAACGTTCTGAGGCTACTCGTTCTTGAGTTATGCGAGATACATGCATACATACATACGCATGTACGGAATTACGACGCCACGAAAAAAATCTCTCCTGAATCCATTTTAAATCAGTTTTATAATTTTTTTGGGGGAAAAGTATCCTTTATTCTGTCCATACGAACATATTTTACGCAAAAATATCGTTAATTTGCATTGGATAGTAGTCAAAATGAATATTTTCGTTAAAATATGGTGCATAGAATTTTTCATTATTAGATTTCTTTACTTCGTACAAAGAAGTAAAAATAGTTTTTGCAAGCATTTAATACTAGTTTAAATTGTAATAAACGATCTGTCTGTCTGTTTGGTTATTACTAGATCTTTTCGTTTCTCACTTCTTTAGAATTACTATTTGCATTCTGTGTACTAATTCTGATGGAATGGCAACATGTCTTATTTAATTTAAGCCGGAATTTTAAGAGATGTGATTTTTTTAGTTTTCTGTTTTAAAAACGATGACATCTTTGTCTTCATTATCATTGATTCATTTGAGGGCATTGAATTTTCATTGTCTTCTTGTAACATGCTCTTTTAACTAATTTAATAAGCAGTTTTGGGTATCATAGTAAATAAAATACAATCAATATTTTTACTAATTTTTTTTCTCAATTTTGAAGAATTAGAAAGACACTCATGCAGTTAGTTTCTTTCTTGTTTCATTACTTCATCTTTTAATTTACAACCTATTCTGCTTTGACAAACCAAATTAGGAATTCAGAAAAATTGTCTAGCAATTTTCTTTTCCAGCGGATGTTTCTGTATGTACGGGATCCAATTAAAAAAGTAAGTTGATGCTGCGTTGCGTACAATATGTTTTGTTTAGACAATATTGCTGCATTCTACGAGTTCGTGGATTTGGAGTAATTGACGATAACACTTAATAAAGACTCAAAACACAATTTATTCGCCAGTATTACACAGGAGAGTTCCAAAGACACATTTACAGTCGTCGAAAAATTACAGTAAACACTCTGAAACAATCAGCAGTACAGCCTTCAGACTACAACGGTGAAGACAGCTTCACGACAAAGCACTAAAGTACAGTTCCCGACACGGTTTGGTCGCTCTCAAGCTAAATCTGAACTTAGAACACTACTACTGAACTCAACATACTAGTCTCCCCGCGTACAGACAGGATATATGTAGCTTTAACCTACCTTCGAGAACATTCCCGAGGAAAATCGCTAAGAATGCGTTCTAAAATGTTCTCGCTCCATAAAAGCTAATGTTTTCACCAAATGGACGATTTCGCGCAAAATCTGGCAACCCTTCGTTTCCCTGCTACTTTCTGGCAACCCTAACCCTGCTTTGTGGGGAAGCTATCTCACCGCAGTTAGGCATTTCGAAACAATATTAAAAAAAGCGTTCTGTAATAATAAAATAATAAACACTTTTTATTTTACGATCTTAGTTATAATTTATCTTTGTAAATTAGTTTAAAGGTAAAATAACAGTGAAACCAAGGGTATGATACACACATCCGAAATTCAAAATTTTGGAATATATTTTATCGCCAAATAGTAAGCTTAAAATATAACCAGTGTGGGATAACTATGTGTGCCCATGCAGAATAATAAGTTTGCCAAAATCAATGAACCTCTAATATGCATGTGCATTGTACGACTGTTCTATGCTCGTGTACTGTGCGCCGTTCAGAAAAAAGAACGAAAATATAAGCGCATTAGAATTCTACAGTTAATATTCAATCAAGAGATTGTTATTTGTTGCATGAGTTAACTTTACTGCCACTCAAGTTAAGAAAAGCTAACTTTACCTCGAGCCGCAGACAAGAAACTCACAGGCCGACAAGTTCTTCACCACAGTTATGATTATTAGCGAAAATACTGAGGTGAAACTTTTCCGCTGCCAGATAAACGAGTGAGTTATATGTGCGGTCACCTCAAACACTTGACTTAGAGCGTATCTTACGTATGAAATATAAATTTACATCCTCTGCCTTCGGTGCAAAATTGTCTTCTTTCGCCACTGACCCACTAGCGCATTATGCGATGAAATGAGCAATCCGTAGAAGGAGTTTTATTTTTAGGTAATGAAGACGCCATTTTATATATTAATTAATTATCTTTAAATATCTTACGGAGCTATGTGAAGTAAATCATTAAAACCACATTTCTGTCTCTTAAATTTTTCTCTTTCCAGTAGACAAACTGTTTCGTAATTTTTATGTGGCTCCATGATTAAATAGTTGAATCTTCGTGATTAAAAACAGTGAAGTGTGTGGAATTATTTTGCTAATGAACATAGTCTCAAAAACTCTTAATTCATTTACTTTATTAAAAGTTTATGTAAAAATTTCTATTCATAACTTTTTGCTTATAATTTTGACTGGTTTATCACTAGGTATTCGAAGACTGGGACACGTTATTGATGGAACCAAGCTCTTCAATGATTTCTTTGAGCTAATAGTAGCAAATAAACCTAGAACACACAGCACAAGAAAATTGGAGATTGTTATAGGTAAGAGCTTTTACTATGTTGTCTATTACAGTTCATTCCTGTCTCTATAGCAATAACAATTTACAGGAATATTTAAAAGCATAGGATCTAAACAGTGATATAAATAGAAAGTTCACATAATGACCCCACCTTCTTCGCCCACCAGCGGCCGAGCGGTAAAATCGCTGAACACTGGTAATTCGGTCCTAGGTTTGAATCCCGCGAACGGGCTGGCTGCATGGGCGTTTTCGTGGTTTTCCCCATGTGTAACGTGTATACGAGCCAGTTTCCCTTAGAAAGTCCTCCACGAAGGCATCCCTTCCACTAAACATATAGCCCTAGTGTGCTTTGCCGTATCCTCAATACACACCACCCCACCTTCCTTTGATGTAAAGCTTTGATTTTTTATATATATATATATGTAAAGAAGAATGATTGTGTGTTTGTTTATTCGTGATTAGCTCAGTCATTACTATAGCTATCATCACCAAACTTTCTACAATTTTTTTCTGTATCCTGGGAAAGGTCGACGCCCACATTTAAAAATCTGGAAGGTTTTAAATTTTAAATTACGTCTAAAGGGGCGTTTGTTTAACATTTTGTCTTACCTTTATTTATTAAATATTTATTTATCACGTTCTTCGCACTTAAACCATAAAATTCAGTTCAACGGCAGTATCGCAAAATACTAATTCAGAAGTCAAACAATAAAAATCAGCGTTATATTTTCAAAATTTTTTAGTTTAAAGGTTTTTTTTAGTTTTAACTAAAAAACCTTTAAACTAAAAAATTTTGGGTTTTGACTTCTGAGTTAGTATTTATTCGGCGTGTTATTGTGTCTTAATCGCAAAATAGTTTTAAATTGAGCCTATCTTTAGAATTTCCGATATAGATTCTCGCTCAGTAGAGATAAAAATGTTTCCTTCTGTTCAACGTTGCCATGGCTCGCTTGGAAATCCTTGAGTTTGTTCATCAAATATTCGTTAAAGTTTTACAAAATAGGAAATCGATAATAAAACAAATTCCAGATTTCAAATTTGGGCTTCCACATGCCCATATTCGCAGTAGGATGACGTCATTCAAAATTGGATGGCTCTAGGTATCGTTGTTTTATCAGAATGCGAGATATACACATACATTTATTACATTTATGCAGATTTTTCATTATTTAATTTCTTCAAATATAATGCAGGACTCTAAAATTTGGTGGGTGCAATTTAAAAAGTGAAACGGACATTAGTAAACCAACGCAAAATCGCAAAACGAAAACGATAGTCCTTAAGGGACAAAGCCCCTTTAATCCCCCCCCCCAAAAAAAAAAAAATTCCGAGTGGCAACAGTTTCGCACGTTGGAGATAAAAATCTGCTTTATTTGGAGAATTGTTGCCACTGCTGGCTTTCAAATCGCAGAGTTAGTTAATTAGTTAATAAAGAATTTTTAAGTTTTGCAATGAAATAAAAATAGCTGTAGAGACATTACGTTAATTGGAAAAGCCGGAGAGATGAAAAATGAACAATCGCCTTCGCCGAGAATCGAACCACGGACCTCTGGAATACCGGCCCATAGTGCAGAACCACTACTCCACGAAGGCACGCTAGGAAGGCGGGGAGAAATATCTTATATACTCCCTTTTTTAACTTATATACTGGGGTTTTTAGGGGGCCCAATCGCCAAATCATGCGTGAGGAGGGCCTCTCAATCCAAGTTAACTGGCATCGAGTACTTCCGCTAGTTTATAATGTTTCATCTACTATTGAAGCCTTTTATTGCTTTCCTGCTGGCTCTTGCAATTCTAGGAAATATCTGTACTTTCTAGAGAAGATGCAAGTAAGGTTAATTGAAAGAACCACAGTATTATATGATGTAGCTGATCGTGACTGCTATTTGCTGTTACTACTCGTTACTCGCAAGAAGTTGTTTGTGGTGTGACGTTCAGACGTATGCACCCCTCGGACTTCCAGGTGCTTAATGAGAACTACCCGCTTGCCAGAGACAGAATGGAAAGCAGACCTTTAGAAGAAAGGTGCAGCGTAACGCCCCCTGGTGTGGTCCCGGACATAAGGGACTAATTATTTTCTTTCCAGGTTTTAACAAAACGAGGAGAGAGCTTTGTGTAAAGAGTTTTTTAATGCTGTAAACGAGTGAAAGCAGACGCATTTTAGCGTCTTTGTATCAATTATGGCTGTAATGATTCAATTATTTTAATATTTAATCAAGAATTTCTTAAGTTTTCAAAGTAAATATTGTTACGAAATGTACAGGCGCGGTGAGATAGCTTCCCCGCAAAGCAGTTTTAGGGTTGCCCTAAAATGGCAAGGGAAGGTAGAATTGCCACATCTGGCGAGAAATCGCCCATTTGGCGACATTTTGGCCATTTGGCAAAATTGCCCATTTGGCGACTCCATCCGTCCATGGCATATCGCCCATTTGGCGACATTTGGCGATATGCCATGGACGGATGGAGAACCTTCTCTGGAACGAATTCTTACCGGTTTAGCCCAGAATGTTCTCGAACACAAGCCGAAAGCCATATAAACCCTGCTGGTTCGCAGTCAGTTAGTGTGTGTGTGTGAGTGTGCGCGTGCCTCGTCTAGCGAGCTGATAGTCAGTCATTGAGCGAGTGTCTCGAAGTCTAGCGCCGAGGTGGTCGTGGAGTTCATCGAGAGAGTATCTTAGTTTTGTCGCGGTTAGTGCATCGTTGAGAGAGCGTGTTGAGCTCCGGGAACGACTGACCCGAAGAGCCGGGAGTCATGCTTTGTGTGACGTAGTGCTCGCGAGTTGTAGCGTGGAGAGTCTCGTGAGTACTTGGAGTTCCGAGAACGACCGAGCAGAGTCTAGAGCTGTACTCTGGTGCTTTGCAGTGAAGCAGTCTCCACCGTTATAGCCTGATAACCCGAAGGCTGTGTCGCTGATTGTGTCAGCGTGTTTATAGTAGTTCTTCGACGACTGTAACGTGATTTTGGAGCTGTCCTGATTAGTACTGGCTAAATAAAATGTGTTTCGATGCTTCATCAAGTGTCGTCGTTATTCACTCCAAATCCATACGAACCTCGTACGAACGTGAAGGAAGAAAATAACGTAACAACTGGTGTCAGAAGAAAAAAAAAAAAGGAACAATATTTTAAAAGACGACCTGTCTGCTTTCACCCAACACGGGTGTTCTGACGTTACAGTGGTTTTTTTCGTCTGCTATATTTTGAGTATGACCACAGTAGTTTTTTTGGAACCGAATCACTCCTGATGCGCCCAGCTTAATAAGAATGTACAACATTTTACTGTATTTGATGTATAATATATAATGCTGTTTTCTGTGCATTTCGCATTAACTGGAGGTAATAGTGAAAAATTTCGAGTATCATATTGTAGAGACATTAGGATTTTTGATGCTGAGACGCGTGAAAAATGATCAGTGCCTTTGGCGTGTCTCGAACCTCGGGCCTCTCGAATACACTCCAAGCCTGCTGACCGTTAAGAGATTATCACATATGGCTACAGTTCCTGCTAGACGGGACTTTTCTGAGAAACGAAATTCTGGTAGCATTGGTTTAAACGGGAGGATTCCTAGAAAAAAGATCCCCGCTGGAAGCGAAGTCCTGCCTAGCTACGGAAACAATGTTGCGGCTACGCGGGATTTTTTCAAACCTCACCGAAAATGTCCCGGGTAGAGACAACCAATCAGACGAAAGTTCTGCTTCTGAAGGATCACGTGATCCCAATTTGAGCGAGAATCCAATACTGCTGGGCGTTCAAGTCTTTGTAGTAAATGGGAATGGTAACCTAGCTACGTGTGTTTCCTGGAATTGTGTGGGTCTTGAGAATTGTCCCTTTCGACGTTGTAGTAACTAATTCCGGTTACTATCAGAGAGCATTAGTTCCAGAGGTAACTGATCATTGCGTCTCCTTATTAATACACACATTTTATTTACAATATAATACAATTGCTACAAGCATTATTGTTAGGCAAACGCCTTCATCATTATTAGGCTTAACACCTTCGATCTTCCGTCAAAACTAAAAGCAAGTTACAGAACATCAACCGAGACAAGATGTTCGGAGCGCCGCCTAACGGCACAAACTATCAATTTATAACAGACGTCAAGTCCCGCGTAGCCGAAACATAATGTGATTGGGACCTTACTATGAGGCATTCTATAAAATGCCTGGGCGATGTTTGAAATGTTTAATCGTTTCATACATTGGCGGAAAGTTTTCGGCATTCTATAAAATGACTAGACATTCTACAGGACGCCGAATTTCATACTTTGCCGGTGACATATATACAACTTTAAAGTTTGATTTATTCTCTATTTTTTAATGCCCCCATTCTCATTCCTTTGCAGTTGATACCGCAGTGAGTTTTAGTGTCATTTTCGCTAAAGAATCGGGGGCTAACTACTTCCAAACTATTTACCGTTTAGTTTTAAATACATTTATCGTCTACTTTGTTACTGTAAAATTATGCTTAAGCTGAAAATTAGCAGAACGAATGGGAAACTAATCGAATTATGAAGCGGGCGAAAAGTCAAACCTAAATAATAGAAATTTATTTACATTGGAAGAATTTCAATATTTTAGAATTCCTGAAACACCGGTAGCACTTTACAGATTTAACGCGCCGTCCCCTTTATTCCAGTATCTGACGCATTTCATCTCAATTACGGATCTGTCGGTTTCCATTCTTGGTCCACACCCATCCATGAAAAGACAGGATGTTCTTTTGAAACAGTACAACGGAAATTACTTCCCTTAAGCCTGTTTGACTTTCTGCTGGTTCGCCACGTTTTTTGTTGCCAAAGATTGCTAATTAATTTGTTCAAAGTCGAGCCAACTCCTGCATCATCCGTTTTACATCAAGGCTAAACAAAGCTGTAGCTATTTATCCTTGCATTTTAAAAGACAGAAGAAAAAGTATACTAATCGCGAACAAATTGTGCAGCGGAAATTGAAATTTTTGTCATCCTTGAACCTCTAAATCTTTTTGTGTACGGTTATATGTTGAAATTTATTTAAAAGAACGCAA